GGGAGAAACCAAGGCAGGGAATTCAGGAATTCGAGTCCTGGGAAAAGCCCTTCATAGAACACCAGGATTTTGGCCCGTTCAGTTTATCCAGGATGAGACTCCTGGTGGTGCCAGGACGGTGGCAGGTGTCCCCTGTGCCAGGGGGTGGCACTGAGTGGTCTCCAAGGTCCCTTCCAGCCCAGCCCATTCCATGATTCCCATCAAAGTGKGAATCCCACCAGGATCTCACAGGAATCATTGCTGTGGAAAGTGGCAGGGACAGAAAACAAAACCAGGCACCAATGAAAGGACATCCGAGGGGACACGGGGCTGCAAGAGGGAGGCACCGACCTTTGGAACAGATGATCCCAGCAGCTGTTGCCAGGCTGGAAAGGGCGCTTCCCTGTCGCCCAGCTCTGGGCTGGAGCTGCGTCATTCCATTCATTTTATGGCCYGGTGACACAGGAAATGGGCCTGGAGTCAATAAAATCCTGATAAATGACCACCTCATCACGATAAGCTGTGCATCAGATTGCGCTTCGAGTCGTGGAATATCCTGAGGACAACATCCAGCTCCTGCCTGGGACATCCCAGAGAGCAGGTTCCCTCTGCACCAGGCTCTAATCACTGGAATTATTTATCAAAATTATGGAATTTTGATAAATGAGGCTGCTTCGATCCTGGAAGGGGGATCTGGGATTGCAGATCCTCAGGACCTTGGGATAGGAGCTGCTGTGTCCCCATTGATTTTGGGTGGGTTTAGCAGCAGTAAGAGCTCGGCAGTGCTGCTGGACACGAGGAGAATTTCTCTGGACGTCATAAGGAATTTTTCCATGGATGTTCAGGCACTCCAGCAGAGGAGCCCCCATCCCTGGAGGTGCCCAAGGAATGACAGTGTGATGATGTGACACTCAGGGACCACAGGTTGGACTCCATGGTCTGGGAGGGCGTTTCAAATCTCAGTGATCTGGGATTCTGACAGAGCCCAGTGCCCCATCCGGGAGGTCACCACCACCCAGAGCATCTTGCCTCCCCTGAACTCGGATTGATCCCAATATCCAACATCCACTCCCCTGCCCTGAATTGGGGATTGATCCCATTTCCCTGCCCTGAACTGGGGATTGATCCCAATACCCAACATCCATTCCCCTCCTCTGAACTGGGCATTGATCCCAATATCTGACATTCATTCCCTTCCCCTGAACTGGGCATTGATCCCAATATCCAACACCCATTCCCCTCCCCTGAACTAGTCATTGATCCCAATATCCAATACCCAACACCCATCCCCCTGCCCTGAACTGGGGATTGATCCCAATACCCAACATCCATTTCCCTCCCCTGAACTGGGGACTGATTCCAATACCCAACATCCATTCCCTTCCCCTGAACTGGGCATTGATCCCAATACCCAACATCCATTCCCCTCCCCTGAACTGGGCATTGATCCCAATATCCAACACCCATTCCCTTCCCCTGAACTGGGCATTGATCCCAATATCCAACACCCATTCCCTTCCCCTGAACTGGGCATTGATCCCATTCCCCTCCCCTGAAGTGGGCATTGATCCCAATACCCAATATCCATTCCCCTCCCCTGAACTGGGGATTGATCCCAATACCCAACACCCAACATCCATTCCCCTCCTCTGAACTAGGGATTGATCCCATTTCCCTCCCCTGAACTGGGGATTGATCCCATTTCCCTCCCATGAACTGGGCATTGATCCCAATATCCAACATCAATTCCTCCTGCTCTGAACTGGGGATTGATCCCAATATCCAGCATCCATTCCCCACCCCTGAACTGTGCATTGATCCCAATATCCAACATCCATTCTCCTGACATGAACCCACCCAGAAACTGAGGTGTCAGGACAATAAATGTGGGATCCAGGGCTGGACCAGGAACTCTTTGGATCAGGAATCACCAGCAGGGCCTGGGCAAACAGAACCCATGGATTTTGGGAGCTCCTGCTCCCAAAATCTTCAATCCCAACACTGCAGGCAGCAGGAGGGATCCCCTGGGATAACACAGGAGGTGTGCAAACCCCACACGAACACATTCCCAACATACAATTTTACTCACCTGCCAAGATTCTCCTCTCCCATGGCAATATTTGATTTTGTTTTTAATATTGTTTTGGCACTTCCCATCTGAAATCGTGAGCCTGGTTTGTTTTCCCAAGGATTTACAGAGGGATTGGTCATTTATGGGGGTTTGGCTGCTCTGGGAGTGTCAGAGCCAGCCCCAGGTGTCGGGTGGGATGTGACTCCCAGCACGACAGGCAGGGATTTCTCTTCCCCAAAAATCAAAAGTGAGCTCGGTGTCACCAAGCCCCTGTCCCTGGGGTCACTGGCGAGGGCTGGCAGGAATGTACCGGTCGGAGCGGTTGTGGAACAATCCCGGGTTGCCATGGAACAACAACACAACAAACGCTGGGGACACCTCTGGTGGCCACGTCCGTCCCTGCCCCACCTGGCTGCCACCTGGGCTCACACCGGGAATATTCACCTGGCAGGGGGGAGGGGAGGAGGCTTCCTAAACCCACCTGGATTGCTCRTGGAGCAGGGAAGGGACGTTGGGCTTGGGGTGAACATGGGCTCACCCAAATCCAGGGCGAGGTGCAGCTCCCCAGTGCCAAACTGGGATTCCTGCAGGGTGCTGGGGGCAGCTCCAGAAGGAGGTTGGGATTCACCTACCTGGATTCACCTGCCTGGATCCCTCCTGGATCACTCTTTCTGTGCTGTGTGACAGTCCCCGTGTGCTGTCCCTGCCTGTTGACACCCAGAGCCAGCAGGGAGCTGTTGCCAGACCCTCAATCCCACATTCAGCTCCCATCCCGGTTTCCTCAGGACACCCCAGTGCTGTTCCAGGGGCAGCTGGTCTGTGTGAGGCTGGACAGTGCCATGTCCCCAGCTGGGGATGGACAGAGTGACSCCTGTCAGTGACCCCTGACACCCCYACAAYGTGTCTGTGACTCTGCTTYTMTCACASTCAATGGATTATTTTTATAAACCCAGGATCAATTAGRCTGGAAAAGACCTTTGAGATCATYGAGTGCGACCTGCRATGGTGGGAGCTGAGCCAGGTGCAGGGCTGGCAGGGATCCTGCAGGAATCCTGCCCCATCTCTCTCTGCCTGGCTCGAATTTCCCCTTTTCCCTCTTTAAAAAGAGAATTTCTCTCTCTTTAAAAAGGAGAATTTCTCTCTCTTTAAAAAGGAGAATTTCTCTCCGGGCTTCTCTCCCCCCAGAGCAGGAAGGAGGGATTCTGAGCCGGCTGAGTTTGCAGCCAGCCTTATCTCCCTGTCCTGGGGACAGAAAAGCTGAAGGGTGACACGTTCAGGCCAGACTTTGAAATCTCCTGGGGAATTTACGACCTGATAGCAAAGAGCTGCACCTCTTTGGGACTATTTGAAAACGGAGAAAACCCTGAAACACATTTTTTTTTTCTCTGCTTTTTCTTCATAGAACCTCAAAATTCAAGCAGGGACCTGGAAATTTAAGCCAGGATTTTAATCCTGTCCCCTTTTGAGTGTGGACTAAATGTTGGATGGGATGCAACCCTCCTAACCCACCTTGGTTTTAAGGATTTTTTTGAGGGATTAGAAGGAGGGAGAAGGGCAAACACAACCCTCCGGGTGGGCACGCACCGGGTGCCTCTGGCAGGGCTCGGGCAATGCCTTGGTTTATATTAAACAGCCAGGACCTGGCGCCGGGGCCCCTTTATCAGCTCTGGGCTGATAAATCCCCGTGTGTGTGTGTGTGTGTGTGTGTGTTCCCCGTGTCCCCCCGCTCATTGCGACACCCGCCCGGGCACGGGGACGCGCAGGACGCGGGGCTCGGGGCTGCTTCATCCCGCACAGGTGGCACAGGAGCGGAGCGGGGACACCACGCCAGGTGTGTCCCGTCCTGTCCCTTCCCGTCCCTTCCCTTCCCCGCGGCCCTGCCCTCGTCCCGCCGGAGGGTGGGAACGCGGCCAGGCACACCCAACTCGAGCCGTAAAATGATCCCTGCAATGCCCTTGGGCCAAGCCCAGCTTTTCTAACGGATAAAAGGGGAGGCAGCGGCAGCGCTCTCACTCCCCTGGGCGTCCAGCGCAGCTCCCCCGAGCTTTTTGCAAGAGCCAAGAGAGATCCAGACCGTTCCTCGGAGCACCATGTCCCGCTCTGTGACCTTCAGCTCCCGCTCGGCCGCCGGGCCAGCTCTGAGCCAGGTGCGGGTCAGCACCGTGTCCACCTCGCGGAGCTCCGGCCTCGGCCGCTCCGGTGGYTTCGGCAGCGCCAGCCTCTACAACCTGGGCTCGGCCAGCAAAAGAGTGTCCGTGGGAGGGGGAAGCTCCTTCAGCGTCCGTTCGGGCTACGGTTATGGAGGACTGGGCTTCGGGGGCAGCCTCAGCCCCGGCGGCATCCAGGAGGTCACCGTCAACCAGAGCCTCCTGACGCCCATCAACCTGGAGATCGACCCCAACATCCAGAGGGTCCGCAAGGAGGAGAAGGAGCAGATCAAGACCCTCAACAACAAATTCGCCTCCTTCATTGATAAGGTGAGGGCTTGGGCTGGCTCAGAGCCCCTGGGGGTGCTGAAGAGCAGCTGGCACCCAAAACTGGCTGAATCACCAATGGGTTCAGGATCAATCTTGGAGAATCTGGTGGGATTTGCCCACTGTAATCAAATCATTTGTGTTGTTCGATGTATTAAAGCCCTGCTGGCGTTGCCAACAGAACAAGTGTTGGGCCTGCTC